TACCCCTCTCCACGTAAACAACGGTCTAACCCCCTCCGGCGCCGGCATCCCTTTGGGCGCCATACGGGGGTTATATCTCTCTGGCCTTCTTGGCCAGATTGAACTTCCGGTCCGCGATGCCTAGCTTCTCGGCGACGCGGTCCACGATGGACTCGCCCGCGCCAGCGAGGGATCCTTCGGAGCTGAAGCTCCCGCGGCGCTTCAGCCCGGCGCTCGAGAGGCTCTGGGTGTCTGGGTCTGTGTGGAAGGGCGGCACCTTGCGGATGTTGGGCGCTCGCGTGCGTCTGGAGGGTGCTCCCTTGCGACTGGAGGATGCTCCCGTGCGACTGGAGGGTGCTCCCGTGCGGCTGGAGGTCACGCGGGAGGGTCATGCCCAAATGGTGCTGTTGGATCAGTTCGAAGTTGGGCCGGCCGGTCCGCCTGTCGATGTACGGGTTGGCGACGAAGGCGGCTCCCGGCTGCGCCGACAGGCCGACCGCGATCTGCTTCTTCTGGAATTCGCTCAGGTTCTGCATAAGCGGGGCTCGAGGCGGCTGGTACCCCTGGGGCCTGGACTAGGGCTGCACCGAATACGGCACCCGTGCGTCCGACAGCACGTCCGGTTTCGCGTAGGTCACCGGTTTCCGGTATCGCTCCATCTGGTGCAGGTACGATATGCTTCTCGCGTCCGCCACCGGGACCGACACGCTCGTCGGCCGGCTAGGGGCGACCGGGGTCCGGTACACGTACTGCTGTTGCGCCGCGTTCTTCTCCTGGTACGAGCTCGTCTTGATCCCATCTCTGACGAAGGCCAGATATCGCGGGTTGTTCTGCAGATCCCGACCGTTCGCCACCTGCGCGTGATTCGCCACCTGCGCGTACTTCGCCTCTTACTGCCGACATTGCTCCGCGGCGTACGCACTCCACGAGCCGAGAGCGTGCTCCGACTGGCGCTTTTGTTGCAGGTGCTGCGCGTGCTGCAACTGCTGGTGCTTCAGGGTGTCCTGCATCGACTAGGTGTACCTGGGCTCCACGGTCGGCTGTGTCTCGAAGAACCGTGTCGTGCTCCGGAGACCCTTCAATAAACCCAGCAATTCTTATATTTTATTTATTTATATGCTAAATTTACCTTTCACCAATTTATAAATCAATTATATGACTAATTCGAACATGATTAGGTACTGAACAGATGTGATCAATTTAAACACGATCAATTCACAATTCAAACACAGACTCAAACGTGACAAATCACAAAGTCTGCCGACTCTCATGACTCGGAACGGGGCAGGTGAAAGTCCCGGACACGCGAATCTCGGCCTTTAATTTGGCATCTTCAATACGAGGAAGGAAAAAAAACGGCCGAATTTATGGCATTCGTCTGCCCGTCGCATCCTGAAAAGGGCCTCGGCCTTGCGTAACGTTTCATTTATGAGGGACACAAAAAATTTTCCGCTTCTCCGATTTCAATACTTGATAACTTGGGAAGCTTTAAGATACGGTGACGTCAGATATTTTATATTACATGTAATTAATAACAACAGAGCACATTTTTAACATCACGGAAGTAAAGCAAAAGAGAAAAATGGGAATTGAACATAATTGCCGAGAGGAAATAACGTCTTCCACAATTATTTATATACATTCACATATGTATTAATATAATTATTAGTATTTTTATAGTTTTTGAAAAACATACCGGGAAGAACTCCCTGGAGCCCTGGAGGATGTTGGAGAAATGCACATTAGGATGCGCACTTTGGGCCATGCCTCACTTCGTCTTAAACATGCAAAAATAATAATTATTAACACTTTTAATTGTCTCGAAATTAAGCAAGAGATCATCAAGATAAGGTCATTAAGAAATTTTCGGTCGTCTAGAGATTATTTTTCAGGATTTCATTGTTTGCCTTTCTCGGGGGGAAACCCGATCCGAAGACATTTTACGATCCTGTTTCATGCCGAAATCTATAAAGATCGCAAAGAACTCCCCCCACCAGCCCCCCGTCCACCGCACCCCTCCCCTCCCCCCAAAAAAAATTCCGACTGCCTCCCTTCTCCCCACCCAAATAAATCCCGAAGAAAAAAAAGGCTGGTGATAATGAAGATAGGGGGTGGAGAGGTCTGGAATGATCGGGGAGGGGAAAGAAGGCAAACACAAGTGGGGGGGGGAGGAGGGGGGAGGAGGGACATTCCCTCTCCGTAATAGACGGAGCAGAATTGGTGGCTCGAGGCGATCCAGTTTTCTCTCTGAAGAAGAGAGAGGGAGTTCTTCCCGGGAGGGGGGCCGGGGCCTCTCTTGGCGTGGGTCTTCGCGAGAGGGGACTTCGGGGTCTTGCGGGGCTTCGTAGGGGTGTCGCCTTCCGTTTCGGACGAGGACGAGGCGGTCGTCCTCTTGCCGCGGAGGAGCATGCGTTTGGCGGGGAGGCCACGGGTGGCGTTCAGCTTCGTGACCACGTCGCTGGAGTCGCTCGTGTAGTACTCCACTTGCTTGCGGCGCTTGGGACGCAGCTTGTAGCCGCGGGCGCGACCGGGGACGGGGGTGGGGCGGCGCTTGGCACGTCCTCGAGGCCGCCCGGCGCCCCGTACCACGAAGTCCTCGTCTCTCGACGAGTCCGGCGGGGAGGAGTCCGACGAAGTGGTCGAACTCGGTTCGGACGAGGAGTCTTGTTCGTAGTCTTCGTCCTGGTCGCTGCCTAGTTTCCGCTTCGCGAGACGACGCTCCTCCCGGCGAATCTGCTCCTCCTCCGAGAAGAGCTCGAACTCGAGGGCTTTGTCCATCTGTTCCGCCACGTCCCATGCGGCGAATGGTGCCAGGGGCCGCTTCTTCCTCTTCAGGGCATTCGCCAGCATCTCCATCTCCTGGGATGAACTCGTCACACATGGCTGCGAACAGCTTGTTATCACGGATGACGGCGCCGAAGTCGATCCAGCGTTTCGACGGCAGGTCGACCGGAGCCGATTCGACCGGTGTCGTATGATATTTTTCCCCCCTCGTGATATTTTCCCCCCCTCCGTGAATGGAAATGCACGGAGTTCGTTTTCTAAAGTAGAAATGCATGTTTGAGGATCACCACAAGAGAATACAATTTTTACTGACAAAAACTAAAGAAACTAATAATACATAGCGCAACACACATAGATCATCACTGAAAATAGCTCCTCCTGCAGAGGACATTGCTTCTTCTTCATGGCAGTTGTCTTTTTTTGCCTTTCAACTCTAGGGGCCTTATTAATTATTTCAAATTGCTTCGAAGATGGTTCAGAGGAAAGAAAATTCGAATAATTATCAGCTGTTAGGGATGCAAATATCGCTGGAAAAGGCTCGGAAAAAACACCCGCCCAGGAAGGAAGCGGAGGCGTTGGAGGTGATGGTGGAAGAGACTTGGAGAGTGAGGCGGCTGATGGCATAATTGGGCTGATAACTCGCCTTAGGTTGGATCCGTTCACTTTATGAGTGAGATTGTCATCCCACAGGAAGAACGCACCCTTGGCTAAGACCTCCCGGATAAAGAAAGGTCCCACGAATCTGTCGAAAGAAAAGTCGTTACCTCATGTAGAGTTTGGTTACATGAATGTTTAGCAAGTAAAATGTATAATGTCCTACATCGCACTTTCATTAGGAGTTGCCCTTTTTCGATCAATGATAAAATAATTACCTCTCTTCCAATTTTCTTCCCATGCGCATGTCCTTCCTCGCGTTCCGGTTCAGAACCTTGTCTCCAACATTGCAGGAAGGTCCCGACCTCTTTAGGTCGTAGACGTCCTTCTGCTTTTCTTGAGCTCTCTCCAGGTTTTGCAGACCTTCTTGACTCCTATTCTTCAGTCGAAGCTAAATTTCTCTTATCCTCTTCTCAATCTCTTCTCCAGTCTCCTCAGTCAATATTGAATCGGCAAGGTCTTCTGAGGTGATGGGAATGTCGAGCTCGTAGGGGAAACGCGAATCCACCCCGAACATGAGCTCGAACGGAGAAAATTTGGAGGAGCATTGCACCTTCCACCTGTACCCTATCATAACGCTCCTGAGGCGTGTCTCCCAATCATCACCTCGGTCAGTCATGTGGGCAGTCAACTTCGCAATTAATGTCTGATTGTATCTCTCAGTGAGCCCTGAGGACAAATGAAATGAATTATATCGACTATCAAAAACTGCCTTGCAATCCTTACAGCTACAAGTAAATGACATGCATTAATGACAACCCTTACCGTTAGTCTGTGGATGATAGGGTGAGGTCATACACTTCTCTATCCCAAAAAGCTCTCTGATGGCATCATTCAACTGGTTGTTGAATTCCCTGCCTTGGTCGTGTAGGAGATTATCCTTGACCCCAAAGCGAGAAATGACGTCTATCAGGCACTCTGATACAAAAAACAGCTGTCTTCTCAGGGATCGGGTAAGCTTCGGAACCATTTGATGGAAGACGAAGATGGAAGAGTGTTTCAGGCACACGATACCCATATAACATTTTTGAAAAATTTCCGCAGAGTGTTGCAAGACTATCTTTCCAACCCAATACATTTACATGTGGCTTACGGCAAATCACCTTGATATTTCTAGCTTCATTACTTACATTATGAATTTCAAAGTAAATTATTGAAACTACCTTTCTGCTTCTTGAAAGTGAAATGGTGACTCCATAAGTGAAGGTGTTTGCATGTTGCACTTCGCGGAGTTCAAGTCAATCGCACTGGTGCGATATAAGTTCGGAATTATTTACAGCAAAGATCCTTCTCTCGATTCAGCATACTAACAAATGAAGTTCTTTATGATTCCATTGGATTAGGCATAGGATTAGGCTTGCCCCCCCCCCCTTTCCTCAAACAACCATGCCGTTGCCCGCGCCAGTCCTGTGAGAACACAAAGAATAGACTCCACAAATATTTTCCCTAGAATGGCCTATATGAGCACTTGCGGGAAATCGAAGCAGTGGTTGAACTTGCAGCTCCATCTGTAGGATATAGTTGGAAAGTTAAGTGGGTGAGAAATCCATCAGGGTGAAGGATATACTTCTCCCTGATACGCAACTTTGCAACTTTCCCAATTGGGACATTTAATCTATAACATGAAAAAACAATCCATGTCCATCAAGGGATTATTGAAGTAAAACTAGGCTGCACATGAGTGGTGAAGTGCACGATACCCCAGCGACACACCACTGGGATAAGATTTTATTTTAATTTTAAATAAATGTGGACTGGGGCGAACAACAAAGACAAGGACAATAGTCTCTCACCACCTCTGTTTTTATCTGTTAGGAGAGAAAAAAAAGTTCTTTTTTTTCCCCTTTGTGGCTTTTATGATGGATGTATGGTCCTAATTCTTGCAATTTTTTGTTGAGTGATAATTTTTTTTGGAATATGCAGATTGAATCCATCAGCTTCTTCATTTCTTCTGTTTATGGCTTGATTTATTAATGAGTGCTTTCATCTTGAGTATCTGTTGTTGGTTCCTCATATACATCTCTCACATCTTTGTTGGCAGGCCAATCCATGAGGCAATCATGTGAAATTTAACTTTCCGGCAGACCTTAGGTCCAAATGAATACAAATTTATGGAAGCTCTCCACCATCGAAAATTGTGATGAAATGTTGCCAATCCCCATCAAACTCATATGTACTAGTATTCCCCGTAAGAAATGTGAAAACTTGTACTTTAGAACTAGAAGTACATGGAACGGACATGGAACGAAATGTACGTGGCAACCATAATGTGACTACCGACGGGCGACCTTTTTTGTTGGCCTACTTTCCTGAAAGGAAATATATCATTTATAGTCCTGTCCTGTCCGTCCGTGTGTCCTTTTGTCCGTATGTTCGTGTGTCACACCTTGGTTGTCTGACGATGACTAAAGTAGTTATCGACAAAAAACTAAAGATCAGTTTTGGACTGATCAATGTGATTATTGAGAATCGTGTAGATATGAATAAGATACAGGCTCGGTACTTTTTGTGGTGAATATGCACCGAAAATCGCATGTTTGCCGCAAAGTTGAATTTCAAATTTTACTATGGAGGGGAAGGTATGAGCGAACTCCTTATACTAAGAAGACTGGGCACTCTGTGGCGGCGCCTTTCATGTCGGGATACCTCCTGCCCTGGTGTTTGACCCTGGAACTACGCAGAACTGACCAATGGGATCTTTGGATTGGAATGTCGCGTGAAATATGGCTGCATATGAATCCGAGTACTGCATCTACGCACCTACATCTATGCAGTACGCGCATGTATTCACCTAGGGCTTTGCATATGGGTTTGGACTATGGTCATGGCTTTACAATATATGTAACAAGCGGATGAAGTAAAATGATGAGTAACCTCAATGACCCGAACGAAAAGGTCAACATTTTCACGTCTAGGATTGATGGGCCTGCTAGAATGGGATGACTTTAATTTGGAAGGGACAAAAACAGCCTGTGGAAAATTATCTTACAGCTTTGCTTTGGATTTACAGTCTTATGTTCTTGGGGTCCAGTTGGGTCACAGCCGGCTTCTACTCCCATGCATTGTTGCTGGCAGCTAACCCAAAATGTTCTCGGCAATAGATTGACATTTCCATTCAACAATTTCCAGTTCATGAAAATAATGCAGTTCGTAAATTGACAAAAAATACAATGATGTAGGAATGTGAAAACCAATTTCAAAAGTTTTACCATTCTTCAACCTCAGCTCCAACCTCACCCTCATCCCCCTTCTCCTTTCTCTAGGAACTCAGAAACGTTAAGCCTAGGCAACATGCATAAGCAACGGGCTGTCTTCGGGTCAGGTTTAGGCCTTCCCTTTTTCATTCAAAAGAAATGCAATCCTTGACCTACGGACCCATTAGGCCTAATAGGATTAATCCCTCGTCATCGGGACACCTCATTGAGTACGTGTAACGTTAGGCCAATCGCAGGGCTTTACTGTATCTCATGGCCCACTTAACAAAGAACGTGTAACGTTTGACCTAATGTAGGTCTCTTTCGAGATACGTGTGCTTTTTCAGTGAGTTCGAGGAACATTTAGGCCTATACAGAGCTCCTCGAATCTTCTTCACTCGTCCTATGAAGAAAGTGACTTTAGGATAGTTAAGGCAAAGGAGCTGGCCGTCATCATGTGAATATAGGGATGTCCGATGAGATATCTCTTTATTCTACCAAATCTATCAATCACTGCAAACCACTGCTTCAATCTGAGCTCATTCCATGAATTCAGCACAGTAATGCTTCTTTCGTTAAACAAAGAAAGTCCTGACAACGATAATAAGGCCGAAGAAGTCATGAATTTGACATAACTCCGATATGATGACCGGCAATACGTAAGGACGTGACCGGAACCATTAAGCTGAGCCTAAATTAACGACCTCTAATTTCATTCTTTTATGGCGAAATGGTACACTCAAAGGAAAAAGGGGGACTTTTTGTCCCCTTCCAGGTCAATGTCTTTGATTTGGCAGTTCACTTTCTCAAAAAATTTCCCAGGTGTGGCTCCCTAGGTGGGTGAAAAAAAAATACTGGAACGGATTCACATTTCCCTAAGGCGAGACTGAATGATTTTTTGGAACCCTGGGGAGATGGAGCTTCAAATTTTCTGGTGCGACTCTGTGTTGAGAGAAAAAGAAATAAATCAAATTTCGTTCCTGCTGAAGCTTTCAGAGAGGAATACGAGACAGTTGAAATTTTTCGCGGGAAGGGGTTGAAGAAAGCTCTATGGCGCCCATTGATAATCGTAGTTTTCTTGTGGAGGTCTATCCATGAAATTGCAGAGTTTCTGAACTGCATGAAGATCTGCTCTTTTGTCACTGATTCTATCATCTTCATACCTATGAAAGCGATCACGAACGACGCAAGGAGGCCGACGAGCAAGAGAGTTCTTCAAAGGTTCTATTGTTTTCCCATATCGCATTCGCATTGGTATAGGCCAAAAAAAAAAAAACAAAGTATAATCTATGGGACGGCGAGCTTGCAGTAAAAACAAAAAGTAATTTGGGAGTCGTGACTGCTGTTTGCAGCAAGGTGCATGTCTTCCTTCATTCGTATGAGCTGATGTAGTAAGGCATCAAGGTAGTTAGTGATATCAAGAGGCGATAACACACATTTTGACATCACATGCCAAGGTCGAGCATTCCTTAATTTTAGGGTGAGCCTAATGCTCTTAAAACTAAATATTTTTGCATTTTCGGATGTTTTTGTGTGTCCTTGTTGTTTGCTGCCTAGTTCTTACATTCAACATTGCGCCCCACATTTTTGCCTGTCCATGAAAGCATCCAGTTTCTTCTTAAAGATAATCACAGGAGGGGCAATCACAACATCTTCAGTTAACGCATTCCACGGGTTCACCACTCTGCAAATAAATAATTCCTGTTTCAACCATGTACGATACTAACCGTTGCTGTTTCTGATAATGGGACTCCCCCCCCCTTCCCAGTTTGGGTAGTTCATTTCCCATGGTTGCGGTCTTGCGTCGGTTAGCCGATACTGAAAAGGTATGTTGCATAGCAGTGGGACATATGGTAAGTGCTGCGAATGTCGGCACTGGGGGTAATCTCGGCACTTTACAATTGTCAAAGTTCTGCTTCCACTACTATTGCCCTAGGCACGGGTGGATAAGTGTTCTCAGATGGTAGGACTAATGTTGTTAACATGTGCTTGGAACAGTCACATTTGTTGTTGTAGTTCTCTCGCAGTGGCCACTCTCTCTAAGCGCACCCTGAAAATCCTATGAAATCTTGTGATTTTGCTAAGCTTTTTCACATTCCATTCTTCTCTTCCACACCAGATATTGTTTTATCTGGTTGTTGCATTCATTTTTGGATCTGTTGTAAACGACAGTGATACATAAGTGTGCCGAGATTCCTGACAGGATGGTGCCATCTATACTAGCAAGTGTGCCGAGATTGCCAACATCTGACCCA